GCTATTCTGGGTGTGGCTAGAGTAGTAAGCCTGCCTTTTTCTGGGGTGAAACATGGGAAACAAAGCATTTGATATGAGGGGAAATGGCCTACTTGTGTGGGAAATATTAGAATTATTTTATTTTCTGAAAGTTAAGTTCTTTGTGGGTGCATGTGTGTGTGTGTGTGTGTGAGAGAGAGAGAGACAGAGACAGAGACAGAGACAGACACAGAGAGACAGAGAGAGAGAGAGAGAGAGAGAGAGAGAGAGAGAGAGAGAGAGAGAGAGAGAGAGAATTTGTTTTCTAAAAACAGTCTACCCTGATCTAGTGAACTGGCTCTCTGTTTATGTTTAATCCTTTTTAATGACATAGACAGCTGTGGTTACCATGATGCATTCATCATCCTTCTGTTTAAAGCTTTATACTTTCCTCTGGTACAAAATCTATTTATTGCTCCCTTGTAAAAAAAAAAAAACATGAAAGTGAAACTTTGTCAAAATTTCCCACCTGTACTTGTCACAATATGAAAATCCTTGGGATATATTTTCCTGTGATGACAGTAACTTAAGAAAAAAGGTACTAGCTCTCAATCCACAAATAAAGTTCTAATAAAATAAGTAAAAATTATTTTAACAAGTAGCAAATTCAGTTTCACAAAGCTAAAATGTACATAAAATATTAAATAATCCTCAAAGATCAAAATCAAACCATTATTGATGAATTATTCTGGCTTTCTTATTTGTTTTAATTCATTCTATCTAATTGCAATTTTAAGATTATGTAATATGTATTTCCAGAAGTAAATTGAAATATTTTCTTTCAACTGTCTCTCTTGCTAATGGAATTTTAATGCACATACCTCCAACAATGAAGCCAGATTCAGAAACTCTAGTGGCAAATAGAGCAGGCAGCTAAGAATGGGGGTTCACCATCAGAATGGTTCAGAATCCTACCTCATCTGTTGTGCGACTTCAGACAAATTATTTGAATCTTGTTTCAATTGCCTATAAACTATAGATACAGAGATAACCTTGTTCATAGTTCATGCATTAAATAAGACATGTTTAGAATACTTAGAACTTCGTGACCTGTAAATAGTTTATATAGACACATACTTAAACTAAAATTAGCTCTATCACTTGCAAATTTTAAATGGACATTCCCACAACATGAGGTCTCAAGTTTTCACATAGACCTTGGAGAATATTAGTGTGGCTTCAGACTCTGTTTCCTGTTCCAGTCTTTGTGTATGCCACCGGAAACGTTAACGGTTGCTAGAGGTCTACCGTGATGTGAAAACACACTGCTTCTGAGATTTTACTTAGGGAACCGTTATCCTCACACAGCCTACCCTGCTGCTTTTTGGACCTGCCTTCACCTGGTAACTACCCACATGGTTTCAGGTGTGCCAACAGGCTCACTGAATCCTTGGCACCCTTGTAAACCACACTTTATTCTTGCCTACCTAAACTTTCTCCAGGTCTTTCTGGTTGTTTCTCAGCCTTTTGGCTAAGACCAAAGGTAGATTTCTGTGTCTTAGCCCACCAAGGAGGAAGCAATTCAGGTAAAATATTTGTGTTTATGGAAGAAAGTAGCTGATATTTATTTACACAATTATAGTCTTGGGAAATCAGAGAAACCAAACTGTATTTAATAAGTGCAAACGGTGCCCATCCTTGACCTTTTTTTTTTATTTTTTATGATGCTTGTATCTCAGGTTTTTTATTTATTTATTTATTAAAGATTTTTGTCTCTTCCCCGCCACCGCCTCCCATTTCCCTCCCCC